TTGGCAAGGTTTTCTTAGGCACTTACAGTGTGCTGCATGTTCTGGACAAGAAAAGAGCAGCAAAACTAGTCTTGAGCTGTTCACCTTCCTGCCAAGACTCTACCTGCAATACCTCTCCCAGCCTCTCATCCAACAGCCAGGAGCTAAGCACCTACTGAACGCCAATATTTGCATTCATATTTAACAGATGCACAGAGAGCCCAAGCAACTTGCCAGGGACACACAGCAGTTAAGCAGGAGTCAAGAGGCTCCCTGCTCCATCTCTCCAGTCTCCCATTAACCTTCAGAGCCCCCCACCCAGGGGCCCCTCCTGGGGATCATCAGCATTTCGTTCTTTGGATCCACAGTCCTGTTGAAGCATCTTGGTATTTGCAGTGTCTAAGAACCAGAGCACGCATTTGCTTTCTCTAGAGGTCTCTCTGCTCCCTAGGGCTGAGGATGCAGCCCTGATGGGGCCCAGCAGAAGCCCAGGAACCAGATGTCCCCTGGATGTCACCCCTCGGCGCATCCTCTGGAGTGGAAACTGCATCCCTTATCCCTCAGGATGTCCACTGCATCTGCTTCTTTCTCCAGCTGGACCCCACCCATCCCAGGCCCCCTCATCCCATCTTGTTCTCCCCAGCAGCCTCCTGACTCCCAGTTAACACTCTGGCCTCCCTCTGCTGGACCTGGGCCACCCTGGAGAAGGGGGTGGGGGTGCTGCTCCATCTGGGCATGACTTCCTCCCACGCCGAGGATGGGAAATGATCCCCAATGCTAAGAGCTTGTTCTGGAGGAAGAAGCCAACTTGGGCTTTGCTGAAGCCCCATCCCCAGCCTGAGAGCACCCCACCCCCGCTCACTCACCACCCCCACCACACACACATGGGCAAGATGTAAGGAGGTCACAACCCCCTGGGGTCTCTTACTGAAAGGTGAGGGGGGATTGTATTCATCCTCTGCCAAGCGCGACTGAACAAGAACAGAAGGCTTGAGGACGGCCACTCACCTGGACGTGCCCAGGGCAGCCCAGAGATCTAGCTGGGGCAGGACAAGAAAGGTGCCACATCTGAAATCTACATCACAAAGTGCTGGGCTGGAGGAAGATGGCTGGCCCCATGCTCGGGGAGTGGCAGAGGGGGACAGCTGAGTCACGAGTCTGCCCTAGCAACAGGGGAGAAACCTTGAGGCCAGCCCTCACATCATCACTCCGAGATCAAGTGTAATGTTTCCAACAGCAGGCCCCAAAGCCGGAGAGGAGAGACAGGAGACCCTTCTGGGCCAGAATGGGGGCCAGGGGGCTGGCTGTGGGAGGCAGGAATCTTCAGGGCTCTGGAAAGAGGGGAAGGTGAGAGGATTGTGTTGCATTTGCCGGGCAGGGTTTGTTTTTTTGTTTTACCTTTGATCCCCAGCTTCATTGAACTAGAATTGACGCACAGCACCGTGTAAATTTAAGGCATGCAAAACACGGGCTTGGTGCACTTACATATGGCGAAATGTTAACCACAGTCCCGTTAGCGAGCAACCCACCTCACCCGACAAGTTACCCTGTCATTTCTGTGCTGAGAACACTGAAGATCTCCTCCCTTAGCAGCTTCCAAGTATATAAGACAGCATTGTTAACTATACTCACCACGCTGTTGGCTGTCCAGTGGACCCGCAGAACTCACTTTGTAGCTGGAAGTTGGTACCCTCTGACCAACATCTCCCCATCGCCCCCACCCCACAGCCCCTGGTAACCACCATTCTAGTGTCTGTTTCTACGAGTTTGGCTCTTTTAGATGCCACATATAAGTGACATGACACAGTGTTTGTCTTTACCCCTCCGCCCTGCCTGGCGGAGTCTGAGCATCTATTCACTCCAGACACGGGAGGGATCCTGGGGAAACTCGGCGTGGCCTTTGCCCATGCTGTGCCCTGAAACCCTTCCTCACCTCTCGCGCTGCCCCATTCCTACTCGCCCATCAGATCTGCTATTAAACGTGCCTTCCTGGGAGAAGCCCTCCCTGACCCCCTAATTGGGAGAGGTGGGGGTGTCAATTTCACCTGGCCTGGGGCAGGCAAGATTCATCTCAATATTTAAGGGGAAAACACCTAGCAGGAGGGCTAGAGGTGGGGCCTCCAGCCCCTGAGAAAGGGGTCCCCCCGGTCTCAGAGCGATGATCCCAGGTCTTTACCCTCAAGCTCACCTGCCTTCCCCCTGAGTGGTTTACCTTGGTTGTTCTTTTCTGATTCCGCCACCTGTAGCTGAGCAACCTTGAGCAAGTTACTCAGCCTCTCTGGGTGCCTCAGTTTTCTCATTTGGGAAATGGGTACAATAACGGTGCCTACCTCATGAGCACTCGCCTCAAAGCAAGTGCTCTATCATTGGGTCACACGCTTATCATTGACTCTCTGACCTCCCGAGTTCGGACAGCCCCCTGGGCAGCAACGGGATTGCGGGGGGCCTCCTGTGGCTGCACTGAGTACTGCATCCCTCCAGGCGCGCTCTACATCACCTGGATTCTAAAGGTTCTAAGTCACCAAAAAACAAACAAAACACTTTTTAAGTCAGTCCAAGCTTGTTTAAGTCAAAAGAGAATGTGCTGGCCATAGCAGCCTTTGTATTTGCTGTGCTTTCCCCCTAGAATGCCCTCACCCCCTCAGCCTCCCTCTTAACATTCAAATGTCAATGTCACCTCCCCTGGGGAGCCTTTAGGTGGCTCCCTAGTTACTCAGGACTGAGCATCACCTGTGTGCCAGGCCCTGTTCTAGGCGCTAGGGATGCTGCTGTGGACCACACAGGTGAAAACCTCTTCCCTCAGAGCTGGCATTGCATTGAGGGAGAAAGAACCAACAAAAATAAGTATTCCACAGTGTCAGGTGGTGACTCGTGCTAAGAGTAAAATAAACCAGGAAATGGGAGAGAAGGTGTGTGGATGTAATCTGGAAGTGGGGGGAGGGGCGGGCCTCTGGGCGGGCGGGGTGGGGGGGGTTGATGTGTGAGATGAAACTTGAAGAACAACGTGAGTGGCCATGGCAATATCAGGGGGGAGAGGCAGGATGGTGACCTCAATGGGGTTGCCGTGGTGTTGTTGCTGACTGTGTCCCCAGTACCTGGACCAGCACCTGGCACATAATGGTACTCAATAAATGAAAGCCCAGTTGTGGGCTTCAGGAACAGCTTGCTCAAGGCTGAAATGATGGCTCTGGGGCCATAACCCTCCTCCACCCGGTGGCTTTGTTCTTACAAGAAGCCTCTCCCTGTTGTCTAAGATGGGGACTCGGCTCCCAATGCTACTCAAGCCTCCAAAGTTCCCAGAATTCCCTGCAAAAGTCTGGACATGCCCATCCCCCAATCAACCCCTGAGGCCTGGAGATGGGGATGTGGGAGTGGCTTGGGGCTGAGTCACATGCCCTATCCAGACCACACTCCGAGGGGAGAGGGAGACCCCATGGGACATCTGGGGTTGCAGGGTGGTAGGAAGGAGAAATGGATGCAAAGAGCCAGTTTCCCAGAATAATTATAAGAGGTTTAGTAAGCTAGTAAATGACAGCCTGGGAGCTCCTGGCTCAAAGCAGCCCTGAAATTTCCAGCACTGTCTGGTGGCCACCAGGAGCCACTGGGCTAAAGGTGGGAGCGTTCAGCATTAGGGAAATTGAGAATGCCAAGGCAGCCAGCTCTTTAGAGAAAGAGGTAAATTGAAGGCAGCTCAGGGTGGGCTCCCGGGGGCCCTCATGAAATGGAGGGGCTGCTGGCAGAGGCCAGAGCTGGCTTACTTGGACTTGTTCCTCAAATGGGGGCTCAAGAGGCTACGGGGGGGTGTGGCTAGCAAACCCACCGGCAGGCCGTCCCTCAGGTCTGGTCTGGGGTGGGGATGGTATGGAAGCAGAGCTGCAATCTGGTAGGAGCTCCAGGAGCAGTCTGGTATTTATGGAGTACCTGCTGTATGCCTGAGCGCTGACCTAACCTTCCAAATTCAGGACAAAAGAAACAAATGTTTGCTGTTGAATGAACCCCTCTCCCAGCGGCCTGTAAGGTTGTTATTACCCAGCCTGCAGGGAGATTCAGGAAGACCAAGGGTGAGGCCAGGCCAGGCTCTGAGGTTGGGGGGTCACCGCCCTGAAAGCTCCTGGAGCACCAGCGGGAGGGCCAGGCACCTAGAGGCCTGTGGGGCCACCTTGGGTTGGATTTTCACTCCTGCCCTGACTGTGCAGGTCAGCCCCATCCATGTGTTAGCTCCACATCTATTGAGAACCCACCCAAGGGTGAATAAAACCCACTGGGCCCCTGCTCTCATGAAACTGTCACTCTCCCCGTCTCTAGCCTCAGTTTTCTCTTCTGTGAAATGGAACCAGCCAGGCCCACGGCAGGTCAACCCCCCAGAGGGGAGCTCTGGGAGGCCAGGGGCGGGCTGAGATTTATTCAGCCGCCCTGGGCACGGTGCCTGGCACACGGGTGGCGCCCAATACAGGCTTGTTTGAGCAGGACTAGCCCTCAGTAAGTAACAGCTGTTGTCGATGCCGGCGGAGCGGCCGATGCCGGCGAGGGAAGGGGCTCTCCCCTCCCCCACCCTCCACCCGCTCCCCTCTCCCCTCCGCGCCCCATTCCTTCCCCTTGCCCCCCACGCGACGGTGCCTCCTTCTCCATCCCCCACCTCCTCCCGCCTCTTTCCATTCAATCTCCCCTCCCCCACCAGCCCTACGCCTCTCCCTCCTTTTCCCCTTACCCCTACCCAATTCTTCCTCCCTCCCCTCCCCCCACCCCGCCTGTCGCCCCTCCCCCACCTGCCACCTTACTCTCCCCCCGCACCCAGCCCCCACGGCGGGGCCGGTCCGGGCGGGGCCGCCCGGGCTCCCGGGTCCCTGGCTCGGGTCCAGCTCGCGGCCCAGGCCGGGCGGCGGCGGCGGCGGGCGGGGTTCTGGCCGCGCGCGGTTTGGGGGTTTTTTATAACCCTGGCAGGCGGCTCAGGAAGTGCCTTCCCCGCGCCCCCTCCCCCGGCCACGCCGCCGCGCTCGCTCCCTCCCTTCCTGCGCAGGGCGGCGAGACGGCGGCGGAGACGGCGGACGGAGGCCCGGGCGGGCGGGCGGCCGGCCGCAGGTAGAGGCGCGGGCGGCTCGGCAGGGAGCGGGCTCGGCGGGGCCGGCGGGCGCCCAGGGGAGGGGGCCGGCGCGGGGTGCCCGGGGGTGACCTTGGGTGTCTGCGTCGGGCGGGCACGGCCGCGGGCCCCGGTCTGTTGGGCCGTCCAGCCTCGGGGCTTGTGTCGGTGTGTGATGTCCCTAAGTGTGTGCGACACTGAGGTCATGTGGGCGGCTGTCTGGGTGTGTTTGCTGCGTGTGGGTATGTGTGTCGGGGTGCGTGTGCGCATCCACGTACGTGTGAGTGTTGTGAGTCGGCATGTGTGTGTCCGCGTGAAATGTCCCTGCGTGTCTGGGTGTGTTGGAATTTGTGTGCGATCATATGGGGTGCTGTGTGGGTGCAGAGGTGTGAGTGTAAGCCAGTGTCTGCTGGGTGTGTAAATGTCTAGGTGAGTGTGAGTGTCTCGGTGCTGCGAGTGTGTCTGAGTGTAACAAGTGTGTAAATGCCCGTATGTGGGTGCATCTGGTGTGTATGTCAAGTTCTGTGGGACTCTGAGTTTGTCTGTTGTCTGGTGTGTGTGAACGAGTGTGTACGTGTCTGTGCGTGTAGGCCCAAGTGTGTGTGTGTCTCTGGGTTGTCTTCTGTGAATGAGTGTGTACGTGTGTAGGTCTGGGGAGTGTGTGGTTGTGTGTCGTGTGCGTTCGCCTCTGGATGTGTGTGTTCTGAGCGGGTGGGTGTGTTGGGCCGGGAGCCCTTTGTGGGTCTGCGGTGTCCGGGTGTCGGTCCCCGGCTGCGCAGGTGTGGTCACCCTCGAGGGTGTGCGTCGCTACCAGTGTGTGTTTGTGTGTCTGGGTGTGGGAGTGGCATCTCCCGCTTCCCTTGAGTGGGTCACCCAGGCCACAGCCGTCTGTCTCCGAGGGTCTCCAGCCCGTCGGGCTCAGGGCCTTTAATTAGTGGCTAGTTGAGGGGGACCCGCCGGGGCGCCGGCCCCCTCCTCCCGCGGGCCGCGGGCGGGCCTTTGTCTGCTCTCCCGGCAGGGTCTGCCTCCCGCCCAGCCAGATGTGCAGCGCCTGGAGGAGGCCTCTGCCCGGGCGGCCTCGGCCGTGGCCTCCACAGAGTGGCCAGGTCTCCCCGGCACGGCCCAGGAGGTCTGGGTGTGGAGCGGCGGGTCCTTCCCGGATCACCGGGATGGGATGGAGCCTCCGCTGTTTCCGGGCCGCTTCCGCGCGGCATTTCCTCCTCCAGCGCTGGCACCGTCCCCGTGCTGGCCGCCTCCCTCCTGCCTTCTGGGAGGAGGGGCTGGGAGGAATGGCCAAGCCTGGGCACGCGCGCGCGCGTGCGTGCGTGTGCGCGCGCACACAGCCACACGGGCACACGCATGGCCACACACGGGGTCACATGGGCACACACACCACACAAAAAGTCACCTACATACATACTTACACGGTTACACACACACACACACAGAGTCATGCACACACCCCGGTGTAGGTCCCCTGCTGTTGCCCCCAGCCAGGCTCTGGCCGGGAACCCCCTAACCTCCCTGCCATCAGTATCATTTTCTCCCCAGACCCACTGACCTGTTCCCAGTAGCCCCAGTGCCCTGGGCAGGTCACACCTCACCACCACCCTGCAGGCGGGGCCACTGACCCAGATCCTCTTTCCCACCTCGCCCTGGTGGGACACCTGTGTGCCCTCCCCCTCCAGATCCCCCCCTCCCCATCCCCACCCACCTATGCCAGGTCCTTCCACACCCTCCCCCCACACCTCACCTGAGCCAGAAGCACAAGGGAAGCTGTGAGGTCATTGGGAGAAGGGCCCCAGCCCTGGAGGACAGGGGTGAGGACCTCAGGGGTGGGGAGCAGGAGAGGCTCAAAGACACTGCAGCCAGGACCAGAGCCACAGAGCCACTGGGGGAGGAAGATTCTGCACCAGGCCTGGCAGTGTAGGAAAGAAGGAGAGGGACAGGATTGGGGGAAGGGGGCTCCAGCCTCACGCTGCAATGAGGCATGGGAGGGGAGGGGGGTTAAGGCAAGAGGAGGGCCGGGGAAACTGACCAGGAAGGGGTTTAATCAGAGCTGGTCAAGGTCTCCAGGATGGAATAGGGGAGAGGAGGCAAGAGGAGATGGGGGCAGGGGGAGGCCGAGTAGGGCATGAGGGAGCTTTGGTGGGGGACTAGGAACTGAGGGAGGATGAAATCCAAGAGGAGGTTCACCAGGGTCAGGGAGAAGGACAGAGTGTTCTCAGCCACCCTGGAACTCCAGACCCAGCCCAGCTCCTCCTCACTGCCCCCTCCCCGTCCAGGCGCTGAAGAAGAGGCACTGAGGGCCAGAGGGGCTCTCACACAGGTGTCCAACGCCAGGCCGTCAACTGAAGCCCCCAAAAGGTAAAAACAAACAGAAAAACAAGGGGTAATCATTAGCCCAGCTGAAGGGAGCCGTAGGGTCGCAGAGTGTCTTGGAGTGAGCTCCCCATTGCTGGAGGGGTCCAAGCAGAAGCGGGTAATTTCAACTTCTAAGTCTGCATCTTGTTGAAAACCTGGCTCCCTCCCTCATGTGCTGAACTGCCCTGTTTGGAGATCGACTCTCAGACTTGGCCAGGCTGCAAAGAAAACAAGACAGTGTGTGATTAAGGGGGAAACAGCACAGAGGAGGAGGAGGAGGGTGGAGACAGGAGTGGGGAGGAGGGTTTGGCACAGGGTAGTGGCCCAAAGTGGTTTCTGTGCGCAGCAGGCTGGCCTGGGGCAGATGCCAGAGAAACTGAGACCTGCCGGGCAGGCCTAGAGCTTCCAGAAAGAATCTGAAAGGAGAAGGAGCCGAACCAGAAGCAAGGCTGGAAACAGAGGGTGGAGGAGAGGTCACGGGGACAGACGCCACCTGTAGGGGTGAATAATGCTACCCCGTGGCGGGGGATCCAGTGGCAGGGCCTAAGTCAGATGGGGTTAGTGGGAGGAGCCAAGCACTGGCTTCTGGTTTAATCTGGGCTGAAAATGCCCCCTGACCAACACAGCCTTCAAGCGTATCCCAGGCCAGCCTCCCCTTGCTGCCCTCCTGCATGCTCCTCTCAGGCACTCTGCCCAGCCACACTGGCCCTTGTGGTCCTGGGTCAAGCTCCTCCCTGCCTCTGGGCCTTTGGCCCTGCCGCTCCTCACCCTGGGCACCTTCTCCTGTCTCCACGTGATGAGTTTCTTCTCATCCTCCGCACCCCTGCTTCTGAGCCTCCCCGTTATTTCTGAAGAACTTGTCACTATCTGAACTCCTCTTGTTCGGTCACTCCCAGGAGACAGCCCCTTGGTGGGCAGGGACGGCATCTATACCATGCATATCATTAGCAGGGAACGAATCCTCGGGATTATCGTGGAAATGAAGTGAAATGGTGTGAAAACGCTCAGGCCAGTAGCTGGCACGCGTAGTAGATGCCCACAGAGTCAAGATCCCTGTGTATCCTCAGAGTATAGTGAGGATGAGGGGGGTGGGGACAGGGGGACGGGGGACTTCTGCATGAGGAAATGCAACGGGCATCCCTGAGGCTGGGAGTGAGGGGCTTTGGCACTGGCCACACTGGGCAGCAGGACCAGGCACCTGCCCCCCCAACCCAACTCCTCTCTCCCAGGAGCCCGGTGATGCTGCCCAGGCTGTGAACAGGGGAGGCGGTGCTGTGGGGGCTGCCGGCAGCCGGGGCTGGAGAGAGACATGTGGACACGTGGTCTCTATGGCTCCCGCCTGCCAGATCCTCCACTGGGCCCTCACCCTGGGGCTGGGCCTCACATTCGAAGTCATACACGCCTTCCAGTCTCAAGGTAGGGGTGTTCAGGGGCAGCATGGGGAGAGAACAAGGAGCCGAGGAAGGGTCAGTGGGGCTGGGATGGCAGTCACTTGGGGGAGGGCCCTGGGGTCAGCGAGGCCAACATCATTTGCCCTGTAGCCCAGCAGCAAAGACACGGATCATTCCCAGGGCTCGCCCCAAGCCTCTGACCCTCGCCCACAGATGAGTTCCTGTCCAGTCTGGAGAGCTATGAGATCGCCTTCCCCACTCGAGTGGACCAAAATGGGGCCCTGCTGGCCTTCTCGCCCCCGGCTTCCCGGAGGCAGCGTCGGGGCACAGGGCCAGCCCCAGAGTCTCGCCTCTACTACAAGGTGGCTGCACCCAGCACCCACTTCCTGCTGAACCTGACCCGCAGCCCCCGCCTTCTAGCGGGGCACGTCTCCGTGGAGTACTGGACACGGGAGGGCCTGGCCTGGCAGAGGGCTGCCCAGCCCCACTGCCTCTACGCCGGCCACCTGCAGGGCCAGGCCGACAGCTCCCATGTGGCCATCAGCACCTGTGGGGGCCTGGTGAGCGGAGGGTTCTGGGAAGCAGGGGGAAATGCCCACCAGTTTGGGAGTTAAGAAAAATACTTCTAAATATAGGTCAGAGAAGGAATCCTGGTGGATATTTTTAAAACATTTTGAGCTAATCACAAGGATCAGTTATTTTAGGATGTAGCTAAAGCAGAACTTTGAGGACAATGCGTAGCCGTCGGTCAGGCTGTAAATGAATGAACCCAAATTGCACCTCAGGAAGGTAAAAAAGGAGAAGCAACATAAACCCAGTAAGACGGAAAGAATGAAATCGTAAAGACAGAGATAGGGTCCCGTGGGTCCCGGGAACCAAAATCTGATCCAAGCCCTCCACCCACTCCCCAACCCCCAGCATGGCCTGATTGTGGCAGATGAAGAAGAATATTTGATCGAGCCCCTGCAAGGTGGGCCCAGAGGGGCCCAGGGCCCAGAGGAGAGTGGCCCCCATGTGGTATACAAGCGCTCCTCTCTGCGTCACCCCCACCTGGACACAGCCTGTGGAGTGAGAGGTACCTCTGTCTTCCTGGGGATGGGCAGAGGGGCTGCACATCTTTGCCTTGAGGCCGAGGCAGGCAGCGGTGTCTGATGGCCCAGCAGTGAGTGAGACAGGTTGCTCAGGTGTAAAACCCTCCGTCTCCAGGATGACAGTGTGATCAGACAGCTAAGTGACCGAGGAGTGGCAGAGAGTCGAGCCACTGCACAGTGCAAACCCTGTTCAGAAGGTCCGATTTACAACCAGACTTGCAGGAGGACAGGGGTCTGATCAGACGTGCAGGGGGCGGGGGAATAAGAAAGCTGGATGAGATAGATATTTATAAGGGCCATCGTCCAGCTGCAGGGACAAGTTCGGAGCCCTCGGACGTGACATGAGGTGCGCAGTCCGACCGTCTGGGAGTGGGACCCCGTGTCGGACCTACAACCACAGTCGGTTGTACGAACGGAAGGGTGGGTCGTTGCACAGTCGGACGGCCAGTGAGACCGGTTGGGCGGTCAGACCCTCCAGCAGTGGGGTGTCCCCCAGCTGCACAGCTGGGCAGCGCGTTGACGAGAACGTGGCACGGAAGGCCACAGAGTCCCACCAGCACACAGCTCCCGTGCTGAGGCGGGCGGCTCCACGCCTACGGTTGGGCAATGGAACTTTCAGGAAGTGGCACGGTCTTGCTGGTTGTCGTGGGGCCCGGGGCGGCCGTGCCACCGACCCGTGTGACGGCGTGGAGCCCGTCGTCTGGGTAGCGGGCTGTTGTAGAGCCAGATGTTGCACAACCAGGACCCCCAGTAGCCGAAGCATGAGTGGTGTGACGGCCTAGGAGGCAGATGCGCCGTCAGACGGGGTTGGTCGTGGACATAAGAGTAGGCAGCAGAATGACCAGAAATTGTCCATCCAGACGAGAAGCCGTGGAAGGGGCGGCCGTGGTGGCTGCGCACGCTGAAGCCGCCACCTGCCAGGCCCCTGGGGAATGAGACTGAGCGTGGCCAGCCAGGCCTGAAGCGCTCGGTCAGCCGGGAGCGCTACGTGGAGACCCTGGTGGTGGCTGACAAGATGATGGTGGCCTACCATGGGCGCCGAGACGTGGAACAGTACGTGCTGGCCATCATGAACATTGTAAGTGCCTCCCCCTCCCTGGCCACGGAGCCCCGGGACCTGGAGCCGGCCTCCTGAGGTCAGGGAACCCGAATGGAGGGGGTGGGGTGAGAAGGGTGGCCGGGGTCTGGCAAGGAGTGAGGAGAAGCAGCCTCGCTGGGCGGCCAGGAGCGTGGACTCAGCAGCCTGCGGGGCCCGGCCGAAATCTCGGTTCTGCTGCTTTTTAGCCGTGCGCCCTTGGACCAGTCACTGCCCCTCTGTGCCTCGGTGGCCCGATGTGCTGACATAACATTGTGTGGCAGTGCTGTGTTCCGCCCTAGCCCTGCTTCCCTCCCCTGGGCTTTCAAAGTTGTCTGGAACCTTCCAGGGTTTCTGTGGGTTTCCGCGTGGGACAGTGATGCCCCAGGCTCCAAGATCGCTGCACACTGTGGCCCCCCTCTCCCCTGGGCACTTCCTTCTTCTCCCTCAGCACTGTCTCCAGAGCTCGCTGCCCCTCACACTTCCACCTTCTTCTGGTGATGCTCAAATTGGTACCTTTATATATTTTTTAAGATTCTGTTCATTGATTTGAGAGAGAAAGAGAGAGCACACAAGCAGAGGGGAGGGGCAGAGGGAGAAGGAGAAGCAGACTCCCCGCCGAGCAGGGAGCCCAACGCGGGGACACGGGGCTCGATCCCAGGACCCCGGGATCCTGACCTGAGCTGAAGGCAGATGCTGAACCGACTGAGCCACCCAGGCGCCCCCAAACTGATACCTTCAGACAGCCACGGAATGAGACCAAATGTGCACTCTCTCAGGCCGCCTCTGGGCAGAGACGCTTGAGGCTGCTGCAGGGGTGGGTAGGGATGGAGGACAAATCGACAAGCTGAATGGGGGTGAGTCAGAAAGAAATGTACTGGTAAGCAACCCGCGCTTTGTAGGCAGCCTTACCCAGACACGAAGCCCACTTGTGGCACCTTACCCGCTGTGTGTCCTAACCTCTCTGTGTGTCGGTCTGCCCCTCTGTAAAACGGGAATGATAATTGGACCTACTCGTGCGAAGATCTGCACAGCAGGCTTAGTCCGAGGCCCCGCACACAGGAGATACTTGGTGAAAGAGAGCTATTGCCACTGTTTCGCTTTTTGTCTCCTCCTCTGGGCCCCTCTTAAGACTCGGTCTCTCTTGTTTCTTGGAGGTCAGGTTGCCAAACTTTTCCAGGACTCGAGTCTGGGAAACATCGTTAATATCCTGGTGACACGCCTCATCCTGCTCACGGAGGACCAGGTGCGAGGGCCCCCCCCCCCCACCTGCCCCTGCCCCTGCACGTGCCCCCCGGGGTGGCTGGCGCCCATGCCCCTCTGTCTGTCTGCAGCCCACCCTGGAGATCACCCACCATGCCGGGAAGTCCCTGGACAGCTTCTGTAAGTGGCAGAAATCCATCGTGAACCGCAGCGGCCATGGCAACGCCATTCCGGAGAACGGTGTGGCCAACCATGACACAGCGGTGCTCATCACGCGGTGAGGGGCGGGGAGGCCTCCAGGACGTGGGCCGGGGGAACGAGTGGTCCCAGGGACCATCCAGGTCCAGGCAGGGGTCACTTCTGCTGGGAGATGGGAGAGGCTGGGGAGCCAGGGGTGGGGAGGGGCTGCTGGGAGCCTGAGAGCCGCGGTGCGGGGGGCGAGGGGAGGCAGGGACAGTTGGGCCACCGCTTGGACACAGACACACTCGTTCACTCACCGTCTCATTGATGCAGTCGGTCAGTCACATGCGCACCCCAGCATCCCCGAGGTCCGCTGGGGGCAGAGCGCGGGGCTCCAGGCGAGAGGCAGGTAGTGCCTCCCAGGCAGAGGGGAGCCTCCGGAGCTGGTCATGGTGTCACCAGCAGGGCTTAGGGAGGTAGCCCAGCCCCTGACCGCCCCCCTCTCCTTCCACAGCTATGACATCTGCATCTATAGGAACAAACCCTGCGGCACACTAGGTACTTCACCCCTGTAGGTTTCAGGCACCCGTGAAGGCAGTGGATGGGTGCCCCCGGCCCGGCCCTGGCAGGGTGGGGACCTGGCAGGGTGGCCGGGCCGGCCAGCACAGCCTGAGCCCAGTCTCACCCCACGCGCCCGTTCCCCAGGCCTGGCCCCCGTGGGCGGCATGTGCGAGCGGGAGAGAAGTTGCAGCATCAACGAGGATATTGGCCTGGCCACTGCCTTCACCATCGCCCATGAGATTGGACATACGTGAGGCCGGGGACACCGCAGGGTGGGGCGGGGGGCAGGTTCCTCAGCCCTGGTGGTGGAGCTGACCAGGCTGCTCTGCCCAGGTTTGGCATGAACCACGACGGGGTGGGGAACAGCTGTGGGGCCCGTGGCCAGGACCCGGCCAAGCTCATGGCCGCCCACATCACCATGAAGACCAACCCCTTTGTGTGGTCGTCCTGCAGCCGCGACTACATCACCAGCTTTCTGGAGTGAGGACGTGCCCGCGTGCCCGCCCACACGCCCACTCACCTTGGCTGGGCGGGGAGGGGGGAGGGTCTGGAAACCAGAGCTGCCTCTGAGAGGGGTCCTGTTCCCTGCAGGGCTGCGCCCTAGGACCCGCACCCCACCGGGGCCCCTGAGCTCTTCGCCTGCAGCCCCCTAACATAACAGCTCCTTTCTTCTCGCCACAGCTCAGGCCTGGGGCTGTGCCTGAACAACCGGCCCCCCAGACAGGACTTCGTGTACCCCACGGTGGCACCTGGCCAGGCCTACGACGCAGACGAACAGTGCCGCTTCCAACATGGAGTCAAATCGCGTCAGTGTAAATACGGGGTAGAGAGAGCCTTCCTGCTTTCCTTCCTGGGAGGGGAGGGGCCGCAGGGTGTGGGAGAGCCGGGAAGGGGGTGAGCCCCCGCAGGGGCCAGGGGGAAAGAGGTGCACGGGTGTACAAATGTCCCGTGCACTCAGACAGTGACGGGGATGAAGAATGGGCTCTCCTGGTCCTCCAGACCCCTGATTTTGGGGGCCGGGCTGGGGAGACCTTGGGTACCACCTTCTGTCCAGCCTATCAGGCCACCTGTGGGCTGCAGCAGGACTGAAGTCCCAAGCCCCCTAATTGGGCAGTTTTTCACCAAACATTCCAAATGGGGTGGAAATAGTTCCCTGGGGACGGACCATCTTTCCCACTTGGCAAAGAACTGGGCAGAGCCTTCCAAGGACACCCTGTCTTCATTCCCCACATCCCCCACCAACTGGTTCACCAAGATCGCCTGGCCCTGATGCTTGGCTAGACAAGCTCTGAGCCTCCGGACCACCCCTCACTCTTTGTGAGGTTTAGATTGACTTCCCAAAGCCCCGTCCTTTTGTAGAGAAGCAAGCTGGGGGTCCCACTCCCAGCCGCCCACAGGAAGCTGGAGGCCTGCTGGCTTCCTCAAGACTGCAAAGATCAGAGTCTGGACGGCCATGTCCAAGCTAAGGCCATGTTCACGCAACACAGGAAAAGGCAACTGTTGAAATGCCCTCACTTCATCCCAGGGCAAGACAAGGAGACAAACCCTGGAATCATTTCTATTTACTCTTGCCCACCCTCCCCCAACTTGGCTGGTAACTAACTGCAGCACCCTTAACGAATTTCCAAAGAATCTGGAAGCCACCATTGAGCATCTGCTGTATCCCAGGTATCCTAACAACGATGACAATGGCTGACATTTACTGAGCACCCACTATGTGCTAAGCATGTGATACATATCATCTCATTTAAACTCTTGACCATCCTGCTACTCCCACATTACAGATAAACGGACCGAGGCATAGGGAGGGTGCCTTGCCCAAGGTCACAGTTCAAGAACATGTCAGAGCTGGGACTCAAATCCAGGTCTCTCTGGGACTCCAAATTTTATAATGAGGTGGGGGAGGGGAGAAAGTGTCAGAATATGGAGCATGGACCAGTGCTGGCTGTATGTTGAATTGATTCTTTCTTTTATTTCTCCAAGGAACATCTTCCCGGCGCCCCTGGCAAAGGGGGAAATTATTGACTACATATAACTTGGCTAACGTGTGTCAAGAGCTGGGCCTAGTGCCTAGTCCAGAGATAGCTGTGGTCACTGTTACACAATAACAGGGAGTTTATGCAATCTCTTTCGCATGCCTCTCAGACTTTTATGTAGGCAAGGCCCATCTCCCAGATGAGAAAATAGAGCGAGGGGTCCCTGTCGCAATTCCCCAGCGGAGCTGAAGTCTCCCAGAGCGGCCCAGAGCCCGTTCATATGCACCACAGCGCCTCCTTGTGGAGAGGAGGAAAAGCAGCACTGGAATAGCCGGTTCTCTTTAAGAGGGGTCCGAAGTGGGATGAGGGGGCCCGTGATATTTTTACAAATGGCCGGGAGGACACAAGCCAAGAGAAGCCAGAAAAGCAGGCTGGAGTTTTTAGCTGAGACATGTCCTCTGAAGGAGCAGAAGGCAGGGACTCTGGAGGACGGTTGAGGGAGAGGACTTGAGAAAAACTTCCCGAACTTCTCATGTGTGTGCACGTCTTTCAGAGGCTGGCCCTTCCTACAGCCATTGATTGGCCCAAGCCCAGATCGTCAAAACTTGAAAGGATTAGGTTCAAAGAGGAAATGGCACATGGTTATAAAAAGGAGAATGAAGGCTCTCCACTGAGGGGGGGGGGGGCGGGGGGCGGAGACCCTGGGAGGTGGGGCAGGATGTAGGCTAGAGGGTCAGAGATTTGGCCACACCTGAACCCAGTGGGGTTGGTCCAGGGACATTCACCTAAAGGGTCAAGAGTGACTTTCTGGGACTGGTCCAGCCCAAGAAGGATTTGGACAGGAAGGTGGGCAGATTTTTCAGTGGGAGAAGTAGAAGAAATGTCCCACCCAGATCCAGCCTGACCTTGTTCCTGCCCAGCCTTCCATAGAGTAAAAGCTCCAGGAGCTTCCTCAGTTTGGGGGGCGGAGGGGGGGGGGTGGCAACAAGGAGGACCACCAGCTGGAAAAAATTAGAGATGAGGCCTTTGACCTGAGCCATCTTCCAGGCCCGAGTTTTCAGAATTCCTGTTCTCCCAGGGGCCCCTGCACCCATCCCAACAAGGAATGCAGAATCGTCTCCATTCCTCAGCAGGTCTGGAGACTCAGAAGGTACCAGAGTGATGAGATCACAGAGCGGTCCATTAAAGGCCCGGGTTAGAACCCGGGCCGCCCCTCAAAGCTGCGTGGCCCCTCGCAAGTGACTTTTTCTGTCTGAGCCTTGGTTTTCTGACCGTGAAATGGGGGTAGTAATGCCTAAGGGAGCTTACGGCACACACGGACGTTGGATAAGTGCAGCCCATAAGGCAGAGGGGAGGTCTCAGGCCATGCCCCACAGGAGGATTCAAGAAGGCTCCTGGAGACCCAGCAGAGGAGCGCCGGGGCCCCACTGCGAAGCGGCAGTGAGCGGGTCGCCGCCCGGCGGGCGGGCTGCCGGAGGGAGGAGGGCGGGGGGCGAGCCTGAGCGGACGCCTTGGCCCGCAGGAGGTCTGCAGCGAGCTGTGGTGTCTGAGCAAGAGCAACCGGTGCATCACCAACAGCATTCCAGCCGCCGAGGGCACGCTGTGCCAGACGCACACCATCGACAAGGGGGTGAGCGCCGGCCAAGGCCGCCAGCCGGGCCCCGCCCCCTGCCCTTGAGCCACGCCCACCGCGCCGCCGCTGGGGTTCTCCCGCGGCTCTGGCCACGCCTACTGCCCGCAGGTCCCGCCCATGGCCTGAGGCCACCCCCCCGCCCCCACTCCAGCCGCGCTGGTCCCCGCGCGAGTTTCACCTCCAGGCGGCGACCGTAGGCTTAGGCCACGCCCCTGTATTGCCAGGGTCCGAGTGCCCAGACCCCACCTCCACCCTCGCCCCTTCCGTCCCATCCCATGGGTGCTGAGACCTCGGGCTGGGAGGAGGGGCGGGGCAGGAAGGGGCGCCGAGATCCCGGAGTCTACGGAGCCGGACTCACCCCCTCCCTCTCCCCGCCCCCCCCCGACCTCCGGTAGTGGTGCTACAAGCGCGTGTGCGTCCCTTTCGGGTCGCGGCCGGAGGGCGTGGACGGGGCCTGGGGCCCGTGGACCCCGTGGGGCGACTGCAGCCGGACGTGCGGCGGCGGCGTGTCCTCCTCCAGCCGTCACTGCGACAGCCCCAGGTCAGCCCTCAGACCCCTTTGTAAAGAGAGCGGGGCGGCCCCCCTCTGTCTCCCCCCGGCCCCACATCTCTTCTGTCCCCCCACCCCCACCCCTTCCAGGCCAACAATCGGGGGCAGGTACTGCCTTGGTGAGAGACGGCGGCACCGCTCCTGCAACACCGACGTGAGTTCCCCCAGGACCCCAGGCCGGGATCCTCGGCCCCTCTTACACTTCACCCCTGCCCTGCCCTGCCCTCCCGACACCGGCCCCTGGGCCCTGGCGCCGACAGGACCTGGCTCCCCTGCAAGCGGCTGGCTCCTTCCAATTCTCAGATGACTCTCCCACCTTGAACTTGCTTGACCTCCACAACCTCCTCCAGCTATAGCGCGCCCCACCCCCTCCCTTCAAAGCCCAGTTTCCCCAAACTTCCCCCCCACAGCCCTGCCCCAAAGCCGTCGCTGAGCTCGCTGTCACCAAACCCAGGGGTCACGTTTGGGTCCACTACCGCACTGCCTTCCGACTAGGAAGCACGGCCTCTGTCCAGAACTCCCCACCCCACCCCCGCCCCCCTTGCTGCCATCACCGGGCCCAGTGCTCATGCTCCTCCTGCTACACCTTCTGTCTCCTCTTCTCCACTGCTGTCCCGTATTTAAATGCTGGGGTTCCCCATGGCTGGTTGTGGTTTCTGACTGGGAGCGAGTCTTCTGTGTGCACACCTAATAAGCACAAGGCTTACTGCAGCAGGGGGTGCTCAGAGGGCAGGGAGAGCTTTGGAGTGGGGGGTGAGTGGTCTTCCGAGCCCCACCTGGAGGGGCTCGTGTCTCCAGGGAGTCCACACGCGTGCGCCACCCATCCCCCCCCCCCCCCATAATGAGTGTCCTTGGCTCCTTTCTAGGCCTGCTCTCAAGAAAGGCCTCGTGGTCTGAAACCAGAAACCCAGCCATCATCCCCAGCTTGCCCCAAACTCTAATGAGTCATCTGCTCCATCTCAGATGTATTTGTCCCTCCAGCCCCACTGCCTGGACCTAGCCCGGGCCACCAACCAGTCTCACCTGGCCCTCCACAGCCTCCTCCCTGGCCTCTCTGCCTTCAGCTTCACCCCTCCAAGCCATCCCTACTCGGAGCATCCGTCCTCCATCCTCGGGGCTGTGCCCTAATTCCATCCCCCACAACTGGCCTCCATCCCGCTCCCCTCTCTTGCCCCCAGGACTGTCCCCCGGGCTCCCAGGACTTCAGGGAAATGCAGTGCTCCGAATTTGACAGCGTTCCCTTCCGTGGAAAATTCTACACGTGGAAGACATACCGAGGAGGTGAGTGAGGGACCCAGGAGGCCATGGGGCAGTGGAGGGCAGCAGCTGGATACAGCATCGTGGGGTCTGCCCTGAGCGCCCCCTCACCCAAGGGGCCGAAGAGCCCAGGATGTGGCTCAACAGTTCCTTGACTGGACGCTGGGAACCCAGACGCCCTCTGCCCAACCTGCCCAACCTTGTTGGGTCTGGAGTCTGTCCCTCTTTGCCTCACCTCCCCCGGGGAGCGAGCAGGGAGTCCCAGGTGGCCTGGCCCTCGGTCTGACGGGGCTGTGCCCCCCAGGGGGCGTGAAGGCCTGCTCACTCACATGCCTGGCCGAAGGCTTCAATTTCTACACGGAGAGAGCGGCGGCCGTGGTGGATGGGACGCCCTGCCGCCCCGACACGGTGGACATTTGCGTCAGCGGCGAGTGCAAGGTGGAGGGGGCTCCCAGAGAGAGGGCAGGGGATGGGGGAGTGAAGGCAGGGAAGGGGGGGCTCACTGACACTCCGCCCCCCCACCCCCCCTACTTCCCCAGCACGTGGGCTGTGACCGGGTCCTGGGCTCCGACCTGAGGGAGGACAAGTGCCGGGTTTGCGGTGGTGACGGCAGTGCCTGTGAAACCATTGAGGGGGTCTTCAGCCCAGCCTCGCCTGCAGCCGGTGAGAGATCCCCATTCCCTCTCCCTCTGCCCACTTGGTGACTGGGGGCAGGACTGGCCCCATCACAGTAGCCAACATCAGCTACTCAGACCCAGGGGCCCAGTGGGGACCCCAGAAAGTCCCAGGGGCACAGCAATGCCCCAGATCAGGGTCAGGGACTAGCTTGGGCTCTGGTGCCTAAACCTTGGCAATTAACAGGCCAAGAGGGCAGTGACCTAAACCTTTCCCCTCCCCCATCCTGGGAGCCTGGTGCTGGGCTGGAGGCAGAGAGGGGTTGACCGCTCTCCGTGGTCTGAGCCAGGGGCTTGAGGGGCTCTGTGCTGGAGGAAAAGGGTAACTAGGGGAGGGATATCTGCAGGCTGTGGTGAACTTGAGCATGCTTTCCAACCTTGGGCTGAAGGAGAGAGACCCCAGGGAGGGGGTGAGGGGGGCTCCTGGGAGCAAACACACACAGTGAGGCCCCAGTGTGGGGCTCAGGGGATGGGAGGGGACCCAGGTCGAAGTGGTGGAGCCCACTGCAAACCTAACTGTGCTAATGCCACCCTGCTAATGTCAACCCCACATGTCACCTTGTGGGTTGGGGCCTCCACAGCACCCCCGTCCCTCTACGCTGGGGGATAGGGAGTGGATCAGACCATTGTGGTGGTCAGAGAGGCAGAAAAAGTTTGGGTTCAAACCCCAGCCCAGCCACTTCCTAGCTGTCAAACCTGGGCGAGTTGCTTAGCTTCTCTGAGCTTCAGTCTTGTCGTCTGTAAAATGGGCGTGATGACACATCTGCATCACAGAGCCAGAGCTGGGGACGCAGTGCGATGTCCCAGGAAGCACTTAGTGCAGTAATGGTTAGCTGTTATCATCAAGGGCCAGGAATGGGGGAGGTAGGAAGGTGTGGGGGAAGGGTCAAGTGGGCGACATCTGAGCTCCACCGTCCAGGGTATGAGGAAGTCGTCTGGATCCCCAAAGGCTCCGTCCACATCTTCATCCAGGACCTGAACCTCTCCCTCAGTCACCTGGGTGAGCTGGAGGTGGAGGGATGAGGACTGGGGGTCAGCAGGGGGTCAGCATGGCTGGGGTTCTGACCCCGATGCTGTACCCCCAGCCCTGAAGGGAGACCAGGAGTCCCTGCTGCTGGAGGGGCTGCCCGGGAACCCCCAGCCCCACCGCCTGCCCCTGGCTGGGACCACCTTTCAGCTGCGACAGGGGCCAGATCAGACGCAGAGCCTAGAAGCCCTGGGACCCATAAATGCATCTCTCATCGTCATGGTAACGATAGTGGGAGCAAGGTGCCGGAAGATATTAGCATCCTTGTGGGGACCGGAGCTTGGCTTCCACTTGATGGCCCCCTCCCCCACCTCAGGTACTGGCCCGGACAGAGCTGGCAGCCCTCCGCTACCGCTTCAATGCGCCCATTGCCCGAGATGCACTGCCCCCCTACTCCTGGCACTATGTGCCCTGGACCAAGTGCTCAGCCCAGTGTGCCGGCGGTGAGGTCGGGGTGGGGTCAGGGACGGGCACCCGTCCCCTGGGCTCACCTGCTGGTCCCAGCAGGGCTGAGCGGGTCTCTTGGCCACCCCCAGGCAGCCAGGTGCAGGCCGTGGAGTGCCGCAATCAGCTGGACAGCTCGGCCGTGGCCCCCCACCATTGCAGCGCCCACAGCAAACTGCCCAAGAGGCAGCGAGCCTGCAACACGGAGCCCTGCCCGCCAGAGTGAGTGCCCGCGGGGGTTGCAGGGTTAGGGAGACAGAGCAGGAGTGGCAGTGCTCCCAGGATTAGGGTGACAGTGCTCCCCAGGGTGGGGTCAGGGCTCTCCTGGAGGGGGAGTCAGAACCATGACGCTCCTTAGCCTAGTCGGGGGAAATCCCGTCTCCAGCGGTGTGATGCACCTCCCCACCCCCAGTGCAGGTGCAGGGTGATGACACTCCACGTGCGCACTGGGGGTGCTCCCTGCAGAAGCGGCAGGCATGCCTGTGCCCGGTTCCGTAAAGATGCTGGCTACTGGGGAGGAGGAGGAGGCTATGCCAGCACCCCGGACTCGGGGTGCCCTCCCTGCATACTCTCTCAGGCCCGCCCCCTCCCCACAGCTGGGTCGTAGGGAACTGGTCGCGCTGCAGCCGCAGCTGTGACGCGGGGGTGCGCAGCCGCTCGGTCGTGTGCCAGCGCCGAGTGTCAGCCGCCGAGGAGAAGGCGCTGGACGACAGCGCGTGCCCGCAGCCGCGCCCGCCAGTTCTGGAGGCCTGCCAAGGCCCCGCTTGCCCGCCCGAGTGGGCCGCCCTGGACTGGTCCGAGGTCAGCCGCCCCTTCCCGCCCCCGCACAACCCGCTCTCTGTGCAGCGGCGGGTAGGGACCGGGATGCCCATAGTGGGTGCCCACCGAGGCACCTCTCCGCAATCACAAGCCCCTCCTGCTAGACCTAGTGCCCCCGCCCCCGCGCGCGGGGGCGCGCGCGACCGGTCCAAGGTTAGCTGACCCCTCCTCGCCTCCCTCTGGACCACCATCCTCCCCCCCACCCCCGTGCGTGAGGGGACTGGAACGCCCAAGAGCATGAAACCCCTTCTCCGACTGCAGTGCACCCCCAGCTGCGGGCCAGGCCTCCGCCACCGCGTCGTCCTGTGCAAGAGCTCTGACCACCGCGCCACGCTGCCCCCTGCGCAATGCCCGCCCGCAGCCAAGCCGCCAGCCACCATGCGTTGCAACTTGCGCCGCTGTCCCCCGGCTCGCTGGGTGACCGGCGAGTGGGGCGAGGTAGGCCGGCGCCCTGGGGGCGGGGGCGGGGGCCGCGGCGGCCCAGCCGAGGCTCAGCAGCGACTCCCCGCAGTGCTCCGCACAGTGCGGGATCGGGCAGCAACAGCGCGCGGTGCGCTGCTCCAGCCACACGGGCCAGCCGTCGCGCGAGTGCGCAGAGGCTCTGCGGCCCCCGGCCACGCAGCAGTGCGAAGCCAAGTGCGACAGCGCGCCCCCTGGGGACGGCCCCGAAGGTATGCGGGACGGGAGGCCAAGGGGCACCCAGAGGGCCTTGTCCAGAGCGTGGGAGTCCTGACCATTGGCCTGGAGCACCTCCAACCACCGCAGTGCCTTTCTCTGTCCCCTCCAGGCTCTTCACCCTCTCCCTGCAGACATGTATTAAGTGCTACTGCATGCCAAGCTCTTTAGGCACCTGATCCTTCTGGGCACCCAAACTCAGGTCTTTCCCGCAGCCACCTCCATGACCCTCATCCTGTTCATCTCCACCTGTACCATCAACTGCCGAATTTTTTTTCTTTAATTCAGAGTTTCTCAACCTTGGGCACTATTGATGTTTTGAGCCAGATAATTCTTGGGGGAGTGGGGCTGCCCTATGCCCTGTAGGATATTCAGTAGCGTTCCTGACTTGTGTCCGCCCCCAGTGGTGACAAGCAGAAATGTCTCCAGATCCGGCCAAATGTCTCCTGGGGAACAAAATCGTATTCCTTTGAGAACTGCTGCTTTAAATATGTCCTTTTTTTTTTTTTTTTCCTACCTAAGTAAATTTATTTTCCATACAGGGCAATAGATCGCTTACTCCGGGCACTGGAACCAAACTGCCCGGATTGGGCTCCCTCCTCTGTGCCTTCTAATCTGTCAAGGGGGATAAATAATACACTCACTTGAGGGGGGTGCCGCATGAGGGAGATGGAATAAAACAATCCACGTGAAACCCTTTATTAGGCACCAGGCCCTGTCCTACATCACTGGCCAAGTGGGAGCCCGCATCATTGTCGCAAACAGATGGTCGATTACCGTGAACACAAAATACTCAAATACCCTAAAAAGGAGCGACTTCTCTGGAGCTCAGGGTCCTCCGTCTATTACAAAGGATAACGAGCAAGGATTACAGCCCCAAATGGATCAAAAGGATAACTGAAAGGGAATACTTTTCTCGTGATTTAATGCTGGGTCTGAGTCCCAGACCCAGCACTGTCTCTCTCTCAAAGTCCTCCAACAGCCTAATGACCGATTTACAAGTCCCCCCCCCCTTTGAGTTAGTTATAAGCTCCCTTTGAGAAGCGAGGAAACTGAGACAGAAAAGCTAGGAAGCTCAGTGCAGGCTGCAGACGCGCCCCTGAGGGAAGGGGCTCTGAGATCTGATCACTCCCTCCCCCCCCCCACCCCGTTCTCCCGCCCCACTCCAGAATGCAAGGATGTGAACAAGGTCGCCTACTGCCCCCTGGTGCTCAAATTTCAGTTCTGCAGCAGAGCCTACTTCCGCCAGATGTGCTGCAAAACCTGCCAGGGCCGCTAGGGGGCGCGCGGCCCCGGAGCTATACAGCTGGGCGCTGGCTGGAAGGGACCCGGCCCGCAGCTGGCCAGCCTGAAGGAGCCCGAGGGGGCGGGAGCTGGGAGTAAAGGGTGAGACGAAGCCGGAAGTTATTTATTGGGAACCCCTGCAGGGCCCCTGGCTGGGGGATGGAGAGGGGCTGGCCACCCCAGGGCCCCCTCCTCATCTCCTCTCCCAGTTCATAGTGAGACCCCCTCCAGGGTGGGTTTGAGGAGGGAACAACTGTTCGCCCTAGCGCCCTTTTCACCCACTCCTAGGGAGCCCCCAATACTGCCCCCCCTTTGACCGGAATATGTACTGTGAAGAGTGGGGGTGGGGAGGGGGTCTGCCTGCGTCCTGCCCCCAGCACTGCCCTATCCCTCCACTCTGAGCTGGGGGGGAGGGGGGGAGGGGGAGGGTCTATGTCCGCTATGGGGAGGGGGATTAGCACCACCCCCCTGACACCCTCCCCCTGACCAGACTAGCTACGGGCTGAGGCAGAGTTGGCAAGATCCGCCCCAACCTCTGCCCTGCCTGCCCCAGGGGGACCCCGACATCCAGGCGCCCCCATCATGGTGCTACAGGCCCTGCCCTGGGGCCCACACACCCCTCGCCAGGAAGCCCTCCATCAATAAAGTTCTGTCTTGTGTAGATTTCCGAGTGTTGGTTTGTGTGCGTTTCAGTGTGTCTGAGTCACACGCAGTCCCCACCACCGAATGGAAGCGGCCGTGCCCCCCTCCCGCAGGGGGTCCCCATCAGTCCAAAGGGGCCTGTCACCAGCACAGACGACAGCCCAGTGATTTTACAGCTTCTCAAGGAGGGACTCAAAGCTAGCCGGTCTGACACCCGCCGTCCCCGGCCACCCCATCCCCAGGCCCTCGGCAGGCTCCAGCCGCACGGGGCTCCCGGGCCTCGCGGAAGTTCCTCAGCCTCCCGCCATCTTCCCATCTCGGGGGGCCTTTGCTGGAGCTGCTTCCTCTGCCAGGTGTACCCTCCCCTCCCCTTTTCACCTGGTTAACGCCAGCTCACCCTGCAGCCTCAGCGTCCCCTCCGTGCAGAAGCCCCCGCGGAAGCCTCCAACAAGGAGAAGGTGTCCCTGCCTGCTCATTCGCCGGGGCCTGGAGGCATTGGGGCGGTGGGCAGGCGCCAAGCCCTCGAGCAACCTCGTGCGGGAGATTCCGGGAGAGACGCGCTCCTCCCCCGATGTGGCCCACTAGGGGGCGCCGCGCCTTGCCAACGTCCCGGCGCGACGCTGTGTACCGCCCGGAGCGCAGGGATGCCCGGGTCCTCGCCTCCCTGCCAGGCTCCCAGGGTCGGCGTACGCCTCCTCCCCGCTGTGTGGCACGGGAGGTGACAACCTGTCCGAAATGCCACTTCCTAAATGTCAAGAGGAGACCGGGACGTGGCCCGCTGCTCTCCCAAGATCGGGACATGGGCCAACACTTGATGAATCCTATGTGTGCCGGGCACTGCGGCGAGGGCCTGCACCCCCGTTTTATCAGAAAGTGGGGGGCCCCGGAAGTAGCAGGGCCGGGGGGTATTAAATCCAGAGCTGACACCCCAAGTCTGGGATCTAACAGCTGCCCCCTGGTTCCTGATAACTTCCACTCATGATGTGTGTCGTCCTTCCCCCCCACCCCCCCCCCGACCCCGACCCCGACCCGCATGGCTCCCCACTGGCCTTTCTGGGGAAAAGACCCGCAGAGGCGGCTCTGGAAGAGGGAGTTTGCTTAGGGACGCCGGAACAGTCGCACATCTGAAGTGGTTTTGAAGAGACCTGAGCAGCCCAAGTGCTTCCCGAGGTTGCTCTGAACGAGCAGTCAGTCCTGCAGCCAGCTGACCTGCGTGCTATTTGCTGCAGCCTCTGTCCGCGGAGTTGGAGAAAGGGCCTTTCCGGAGCCTGGCAGCCGCTGCCATCGATCCTCGACCTCTCCCTTCAGGCTCAGAGCCCCAGACGGCCAGCATCCTCAGCCCCAGGGCTGCAGCGGGAGCTCTCTCCCCGCCCTTAGCCCAGCTTCCCTCCCCTGTAGCAGTGGCCCCTCCCGCTAAAGGAAGTGGGAGGGGGGCTGTTCTAAGAGGAACTAGGGCTGGGAGTCTGGTGCAGGAGCAGGAGCAAGGCCATGCCCGAGCCACCCCCCAGAACACCCTGAGCCTCTACCCCTGCCACGACCTATCCAGGTGCTCCCCAGAGGCCCGATACAACCTCCGACCATGGTAAGTCCTTCAAGGGCGGGCCCTGAAGTGCAGGGGTGGGGGGCACCAGCCGGGTGGAGGTGCCCTGGATGCCACCAGTCAGAAGGTGGGGCTGTGGGGATGGGCACAGCAGACCCTTTGGGGGTCCCTCACTGTAGCTCAGGTGCCCCCAGCATCCTTCACCAGGGACCAAGCTCACATCTGGTGGTGCCAGGATGCCAGAATGGTGATGGGGGACCAAGGATGGACCAGTAACTGAAGGACAGAAGATGACCCCGTGGAATCACACGGTATCTGCAGGGACAAGGACAGACCCCTTTCTCGGGGCTTCGGGAACCAGTTTCCAGCCCAGCTGGGTCACTCATCTTCCCGTGTGGCCTTGGGCAAGTCACTTCCCCTCTCTGGGCCTCGGTTCCCACATATGTCATATTTGGAAGTCAGCTGAGATGTAGAAGGTGGTCGGGGAAACTCTCAGAACTTCAGAAAGTCTATGGGTTCCACCGCTCTGAGTCCACAGCTGGGAGCAGAAGCTGAGTCGAATGGGCAATGGGGGGCAGCGATGGTGTGGTGACATCCTGCCTGTGTAGGGGTGGTCTGGTCGTAGCAATCCCAGAAACAGAAGACGGGGAGACCCGGCCTGGCCATACCACCACTGGTACCCTTCCGAGCATGTATGGCAGGGGATACTCTGCGGCCAGAGGTGTCACCACCCGGGTGAGGTTGAGATCTGGTGATGATTAGGTGACAGGGTTCAGGAGACTGTCACTCACACAGGTCTAGACCCAGCAGCATCATGGCACACGTGAAGAGAGAGCCCGGGCTGCTAGAAAATTTGCCCCCACCGCTCCTTCAAGCCACTTCAGCTTTCATTTTTTGTCAGTCTGTCAATGACAGCATGTGGCAGGGACAGTCACAGAGCCAGTGGTGACAACTGCAGTCTTCCTGGCAGCTGCAGCCGGCAGCTGACCAAGGTGGAGGAGGCTGGGTGGTAGACCAAGCGGCCCGGATTGTGTTAGTCTGAGAGAGAACCTCTCCTGACTTCAGAAAGCCGAGGATACATTGGGCATCACTGGCCAAGGACCCCTCTGGGTAACTCACAAACCAAACCATCAGCTAGAGCTCTGGGCTTGGGATGGAAATTCTTCAAAGAAGGAGCCAAGCCAGGAGGGCTCAGGAGATCAGATGGACAGACTTTGATCAAAAGAACACAGGAAATGATTTGCTACTTGAAAGAAAAGCAACCCCTCCCAAGGAAGCCATATGAAATGCTTAGTCAATGGTTTGCTACGCCGACGGGCTGTGAGAGGGGAGAAGCTCCCCCAAGAGGACCACGGAGGGAAAAGAAAAAGAGCAGACCCCATCCACGAGGCTAATACTTCTATCGAGGGGTGCTGATTGCTTCCTGGAGGGATGATGACAAGTGCCAGGAAGAGTGTTGAAAGATTCAATGAAACAATGTCCATAAAGCTTTACAGAGCACCTCCTATGCACTCTATATAGTAACCATCACTGTGGGTGATGCTCGTTCATTGCTGGAGTTAGTGATGGTGGTGGGTGGAGGTGACTCCTTCTCAGTCGCTGTTGAACGATGGTTCTTGGGTTGTTGGTACCATTGGCGGTGATGGTGCTCATTGCTGTCTGTTGTTGCAAGTTGGCGGTGACTGTAGTTCTCGTGGGTGTGCTGGTGGTGGTGATGGTCGCTTTTGGTGCCAGCTAGTGTGGAATGTTTGCAGTTGGTGGTGGGTCGTTGTCAGGGTTGACCCATGGAACAATGGCAGTCGGTGGTCCCTGTCCTTCGGAGTTGGGTGGGGATGGTATAGCATCCTTTTGCTGTTGGTTGGTCATGTTGGTTTCGGGATGGCTGTTTCCATGGTAGCTGGCCATGTGTGGTTATTGATGGCTGGTATTGTGAGCGTGGGTGTCATGGCGGTGGGTGATGCTAGGGAAATTGGTGGTGCGATTCGTCATTGTTTTCCTGTTTGATGTTGACTGCTGGTGCTGGTACTGAGGTTCAGCAGTTTTTGTTTGACTTTGATGGCAAGGTGGGTGAAGGCAACAACTGACTGTCCCCAGTTGGTGGTGGTGGTGGTGGTGGGGTGAGGGTAAGGATGATTGTAAAGTACAGACACAAAGCAGGGAGACCAGTGATGTGGCTGCTTGGTCCACAGGCAGCAGCCGTGGGGATGCACAGAGAAGGCTGCTGGCCAAGAGAGAGTTGGGGTGGAGGACTCTAGAAGGACAAGGGTCGCCACCTGTCCCCTCCAGTTAGGCCAAAAGGAACCTGAGAGCCTTCCCCCCCCAAGGGAGGGGGGACCTCAAGAGCCTTTGGAGGCGAGGATGCTGTTTGCACAGTGCAGGGATGCAGGGTGTGGCCCCAGAACCCCACTGAGTCGGGGGAGGACAGGACCAAGGCTGCAGTGACACGCCGGGGTGGGGGGTGGGGGACAGGAGCTGGGGGCTGGTCCCAGCAGCGGCTGCCATGGCAGCTTCACATCTCTTCCCTGCTTGCGACCACAGCTCGCAGGACCCCAACGAGGAAGGAAGTGGCTGTTTCGTTAGTCTCTCCATCTGGGGCTCTTCTCATCAGCACCCAGGAGCTGGGAGGCCAGAGCAGTTAGGGCAAATTGCAAAAGCTCCCACGTCCAGCGTCTCCTCCTGGCCTTGCACCCTGAGCCTGTGGGACCGGCCAGCTTCAGGCTGCTGCCGCTGGGCATGGTGAGGACAGCTAGTGTTTCCGCTTCCCAAGCCTGACCTCATTGAACCTGCACGGCTAGCCGCCCCCAAGAGGCCTACAGCCCTCAGTGTTCCCATTTTCCCGATAAGGAAATAGCCATCACTGTTTCCAGATGAGGAAATAACCTTCCCTTCCAGGGAGGTTAGGTGAGCTGCTGGACAACCCAAAAGTGGCAGAGGATGTCAACTCAGTGACTCCTAAGGTCATGCTTTTAACAGCCACCTTGACCTGCAACGTCCTGCTCCTCCCTACAAGATGAGGGGCCGTGGGGACTTGGGGGTACTGACATGCCCCAAGCTGCCCAACCCTCCAGCCTCATTTTGACCTGGAATCTCCACTCCAGAGAAACCAGAAGCCCCACTCCACATGGCCTCTGTCTTAGACTGGGGGGGGAGTCTCTCCGAAGAGCCAAAGTTAGAAGTTACCTCCCACCTCCCACCCCAGCCCTGACTCTCTTTCACAAGAGCCCCATCAGGTTGAGTCATACTTGGCTTGTGGTCAACTGTGACCACAACATCTTCGTTGCACCCCCACCCCCAAGGAAGGGACTCAGAAATTCAGTTTCAACTTGATCTAGGAGACTTGGGAGCCACAGGGAGATGGGTACTCATGACACAGGGCAGGAGGCGGCAGTCTCGTCCCAACGGTACCTCATTCATTCCTTCACTCCCTCAACAAGCATCTATCCACCAGCTCCTATGTCTTCTGTCAAACACTGATCACCTCCACTAAATGCTCTTGGGGTCACCAGCTGCCATTCCCTGAGGCATCCAGTGCACCTCCTCTCTGCATGGGCTCACTGACTCCTCTCAGTGAGAGAACCAGTGGAGGAGGTTTATTATGGAATCCATTCTACAGATGGGAAAACCGAGGCTTGGAGAAGTGAAGCAGCCTCCCCGGGGTCACATAGTCAGTCAATATCAAGCCAGGCCTCACACCCAACTGGTCCCATGCCAAAATTCTTGACTGTCCTTCCACACACTGCACTCACTTGAGCAACACCCTCTCTCCCTCTACCACCAACAACCCATGGTTTTTGTCCTCACAGGGGGCTGGGAGTGGATCTGGAGGCTCCAGGTTCCCCAGGGGCAGGCCACAGAGAGACAGAATGGCAGGGGCTGCAAGAGGCAGAGGGCCACTCAGCTGGCTGGGGGAAGAAGGAAGGGACAGGAAGAGGAACCAAGTCCTTGGTGTCAAGAGAACCAGCCAGACACAGCCAGCATCAGAGAAAGGAAGTGGCCTTGAACCTCGGCCCAGCCTGAGGGCCCCAGGAGGGTAGAGACCAGACTGACCCCCCAGAGGAACCTCTGGACAGGACCAATCTTGTCTCCGCCCCATCTTCATCTGATCTGAAGCACCAACCCCAGCCACCTCTGACCTGCAGACGGGGCTAAGGGCGGCCATCCTCCCTTCCTGCTGTGTGACCTTGGAGAGGACAAGGAACCTCTCTGTGCTGTAGTTTTCTCTTCCACAAAGTGGACCTGGTCACAGTACTGACGTCAGCATGATAAATGAGGTCATTCGCGGAAGAAGCCCAGACCGCGGTGTAGCACACAGAAAGTGCCAGTGGGCTGTTAACTATCCTGATGATGGCTGTTGGTTACCATAGTTACCACCCGAAGCCCCACCCCTCAGGTCTTCAGAGAGAGGATCCACTTCCTGTCCCCCCCATCAGCGCCCCACCCACCCACTTCCCCACCGACCTTGGCTCAGAGAAAGAGCAGACCCCCGCCTGCAGCCCCTGGATGACAGCAGCCCACAGAGGATACCACTTTGCTCCCAGATTTCATCCTCCCTTCTCACCAACATGCTCTGGTCTCCCCATCTTGAAAACAGGAAACCTGCTCCCTGACCCCTCCTCTTCCCACACCATCTTCCCCTCTTCCCCTTCTCAGCCAGACTGTCTGAAAGCCATCCTCACTCCCTGTCTACACCTCCTGACCTCCCCATCTGGCTTCTGAATGAGGTGGCCAGTGCTCTCCACGGGGGCCCCTCTGAGCCTCCGGTGAGCTGGACACTCTTCAGTAGCTCGGGGGTCTGGTCGATGGCTCCCTGCTTCTCCCAGCTGGCCCTTGTCCTCTCCAGGTCTCACCGGTCCCGGATGCCTCCAACCTCCCAGCTGACGCCCTGCTCAGCCTCTGTCGTAGGCATCCTCTCCAACCCCTGCACAATGCCGCTCCCACAGCTTTGTCCTCCCCACCGCCCTTCCCACTGCACCCCGGGGTCCTTGGTGCATCACGCCCAGCACCCCCTTCTTATAACAGACCCCTTGGCAGGCCCCCTTGAAACCCTGCATTGAAATTCACAGACAGTGAAACACACCGACTCCCATCCTTTCAAAAACAATGTGATCTCCTGTAATTGAGAGGAGAAAGTCACTTGGAAGAAAATATGCACATAAAGATGAAGATGCTCAGGCCAGTGGCCCACGAATGCCCACTGGAGCCCCCAGGTGCTCACGTGGGGACACAGGAGCATCTAAATGAGCTGATGCCAAGTGACGCGTCAGCCACGTTAACACGATGAGCAGCTTGAGCTTCCAAAATGCCGAACAGGTCTTAGTGCAATCTGAGCAACACTCAAATCTCCCTTGATACAGGTAGTCTGGAAGATGGAGTGGGTGGCAGCCATGCAAAACATACCTAGCTTTTCTGTGTACACATAAAATAGCATTTGATCCTAGATTCCAGTGATTATAAACAGTTTTGTCACTTACATGAGCAGCTGGTAGGGTGGAGTGGGGGCTGCGGTCAAGGCAATAATTTGTGGGCCAATTTGGCACCTGCAGCCCAAATGCCAACCAGTCGTCCCCATTCCCGGGACGATGAAAATGCTCTCACAATTCTTACAGCGTCCCCAGGAGCCCTGCCGAGAATTCTCCAAGCTGCGGACAATCAAGGCTGAGTTCCTTTGCTCCGCATTCAAGGCCCTTCGGGACCTGGCCCTGGTTGACCTCCCTTCCATTCATTCACAGGCTATTGCACTCTTCGACTCGCTCATTCAAATAAGCCCTGACGCCACGTGCAGCCGGGCATTGCCCGAGCCCCCGCCCTCGGGAGCTTGCACACCACAAGATGCAGCCAACGTACAGGGTGTCCAGCATGTGGCCAGGGCTGCGGTGAGGGGCCCCGGAGGCTGTGGGGGTCCAGAGGGAACCTCCACCTGGCCTGGGGTTGGGGAGGGCTTCTTACAGGATATGTCACCTGAGCCAAGTGTGAAGGCCAGACAGGGTGTTCTGAGCAGAGGCCTGAGCATCAGCAAAGCTCGGAGGCGCCCAGGTCAGGGCCTAAAAGAGTGTTTCCCTGGGGGCCGAAGTTACCAGCACAGAGTAAGCGCCCCAGAATCTTTTGTGGGATGGCTGGGAGCGTGATGGGAAGCCACAGATGGGTTCTCAGCCCCGGAGCGAGGAGACCAGGTTTGCCATATGAAAAACTCAGTCTGACAGCTCAGGCTGGAAGCAGTTTGAAGGGGTTCGAGCCCCAAGCCCCCACATAGGCTCCCTCCTCTGCTCTCGGCTCCTGCTTCTGCACCCGCACACTGCCTGGCACACCTTTCCTCCCAGCTCTTGACCAAAGCCCTTCTTGACTTTCGAGGCCCAGCCCAAACACCCCGTGGGCCCCAGCCACTTGTGGGTGTAGACGCAAGAGCCTGGCCTTTGCTGTCAGATGGATCCAGACTCCAGTCCCACACCCTTGGAGACAACTGAGCTGGGTCCGTAGTCAAGTGTCAAATACTTCTCGAGCCTCAGTTTCTGCACCTAGACTCCCCTGAGCTGCCGTGAGGACTGCTCATAATATTGGCTTCACCGCCGGCCCCCCTGCATCAAGCATGTCATAGGCGCTTGGTGAATGTTAATTCCGTCCAGTGCCCCTCGCCAGGGGCCCGTCCTCACCATTCCTTGGGCTGGAGAGAAGTGCCAGCCCCTCACCCCATTTTGGATTTTGTACCCCAGAGCAGTTTACTCCCTCCCGTTAGCCCTGGAAAGTGAGGCTGCTTCTCCCATTGTACAGATGAGGCCACTGAGGCTCAGAGTGGTGTTGGATCACCCCACCTGGATTGGAACCCAGATCTACCCCCCACCAAAAACTGGCCTCATTTAATGTCTGTGGGCATTCCTCAATGAACCCTGCTCTGGCTGTCAGCATGTCCAGAATGTGACCTTGTACCTCCCCTGCTCAGGAATTCCCCAGAGTCCCCAAGAGAGACTGGCCCCTCCTCCACCTCTGTCCTCCACGCCCGCCTGCATCCTCTCCACCCCACGCACCATCTCTCTTCCCCAGAATCTGTGTGGCAAACACTGCTCAGCTTTGAGGACTTGCCTCTGATTCCCAGCATCCTTTGCTCTTGGGGTGTTCCTCTGAAGCTGGGTTTCTTTCTTTGCCACTGTTCCCTGTTCATCCGTCAGGTCATCCCTTCTAGAGCTGAGAGAGGACTCAGTCCCAGTCCCTGCCCTCCAAGAGCTCCTGGTCTGAGAATGAGGGGCTTCCTGGAGGGGGGCCATCTCATGTAGGCATGAGCACGCCTGCCAGGGAAGCTCCGGGCCGCCATCACTCACCTGTTTGCCAGACTCCTCCATGGCAGGGGTATAGTGAACAGAGCGCACCTGAGACAGCCAGTATGTTTAAGTGTCCGAGGCGCTGGATGAGCTCAGTCGGGCTGAAAAGAGAAAACATTCCAGGCAGGCTTCCTGGAGGAGGGGTCTGTTGGGGGAGAGCCTGTGTCTGAGTCTCCTCCCAGGGGCCTAAGGAAAGTCTCACCTGATTTAAAAAAAAAAAAAAAAAAACTGAGGGGGGAAATGAGAAGGGAAAGCTGTGGGGGCCGAGGAGCAGGGTCACGGCCAGCCAGTGGGGCACAGAGGACAGAGGTCACAGCCGGGACAGGCTAGGATGCGTGACCATGAGGGAGGAGGAGAGGAGGAGGAAGGAGGCCATCTAGAGGTGGAAGGGTGGGCAGCAGGTCAAATGCCACAGAGAAGTGAGAAGGAGGGTGAGTCAACCCCCACAAACAAGCCTCCCCCGGTGCCCTTTTCCCCTCCCACAGCCGCCGGAGCCCCAAGCACACTCTACCCCCCCCCCCGGGGCCTGGCATCCATGATAGTGGGACACTAGGTGGAGGGATGGGAGGACAGAGCCCCCTCCTCTGGGACAGGGAGCTCGGACTCCACCTCGCCCACCTCTCCGGGTGTCCCCGAATTGGGGAAGGAGGCTGGCCGGTGGCTGAGGTGAGGCGGAATCAGAAGGAGGTGATGGAGGTGAGCCAGGTGGGGGCGCTGAGACATCAGGACCACCCCCGCCGCGCCCTCCCCCCCACCCCACCCCCACCCCTGGCAGGGGCTCACTCCCATCTGGCTACCCCCACCCCAGGGCAGCAAGGAGCGCTTCCACTGGCAGAGCCACAATGTGAAGCAGAGCGGCGTGGATGACATGGTGTTGCTGCCCCAGATCACCGAGGACGCCATCGTGGGCAACCTCCGCAAGCGCTTCATGGACGACTACATCTTTGTACCCTGGGCCGTGGGCGGGGGTGGGCAGATGATGGAGACAGGGACAGGAGGGTGACTGACCAGTGGAGGGAGGGATGGCATGTGGATGAACGCAGGGAAGGGCGGCAGAGAGGGTGCAGCACGGAAGGGATGGACAGATGCCTGAGCAAATGAGCAGAAGGAGGGATGGGCAGTGAGAGCATCGGGTGGGAGGAGGGGACAGATGGCAGTGACAGCAGGGCTCTGCTTGGGGGCGGCTGGGGTCCTCACTGCTCCCTCCGCCCTGGGTAGCTCAGCCACAGTACATTCCATCTCTCCTTTCTGGACCCAGCTCTGTGTTTTCCCGAAGAGACCCAGAGCACATCTGAGTATCTCCATCTCTCGCTCTGAGCAGCGGGGCTCTGGAGGCCCCAGGGGATTAGGATTTAGGGGACAGGGGCCCATAAGGAACAAAGCCAGCCAGAACACCGCACAGCCCTTAACAGCACCCCAGACCTATATTGGCTCGGTGCTCATCTCCGTAAACCCCTTCAAGCAGATGCCTTACTTCACTGACCGCGAGATCGACCTCTACCAGGGCGCGGTAAGACCGGGGCCAGGTGGGAGGCATAGCCCCGGGACCCCCAGCCTCTAGCCCTGGGCTAAGACCTGACCTTCCCCATCAGGCTCAGTACGAGAATCCCCCACACATCTATGCCCTCACGGACAACATGTATCGCAACATGCTCATTGACTATGAGAACCAGTGTGTCATCATCAGGTACAGAGTGGGGGGGGTGGTCTCCACACCCTCCTGCCCAGGCCCCACAACAGCCTCAGCACCCTAGGGAACTTTGCTCAGAACTCCTGATCCAAACAGAACCTTACTGTCCCTCTCTGCCCCTGGCCCTGCTTTACTTTCCTTGTCACCCCCTGACCCATGATATATTTATTCATTCATTCTGTTATTGTCCATCTGTCCATTCGAAATGTCAGCTCTGAGACAGCAGGGATTTTTGTCTGTCTTGTTCACTACTGTTTCCCAAGAATCTGGTATAGTGCCTGGCACACAGTAGGGAATGAATGAATGAACGAATGAATGAATGATCAGGCACTAGAAAGGGCGCTTATCCCCCCCAACCTTCCCTCCCCAATGGCTGTTGATCATTCTTTCCCGCACCCACCCCCAGTGGAGAGAGTGGAGCTGGGAAGACCGTGGCAGCCAAATACATCATGGGCTACATCTCCAAGGTGTCTGGCGGGGGTGAGAAGGTCCAGGTGAGGGGAGAACAGAAGGACGGGCTGGGTCTCCCCAGAAGCACAGTAATTAACCCCACGACAACCTACCTCGTCCTGACCTCTTCCCACCTCCACCTGCCTCTGCCCCCAGCACGTGAAGGATATCATCCTGCAATCAAACCCACTGCTGGAGGCCTTCGGCAATGCCAAGACCATGCGCAACAACAATTCCAGCCGCTTTGTGAGTCTGCAGCCCCGTTTTGGAGCAAGTGCTCCCTCCATACACACACACACACACACACACACACACACCTGTGTTCTCAATAACATAGGAACTCCCTGCTCCTGGATGAGAGACTCACTTCCTGCTTATAGTCCTGAAAAGACTCCCCCATCAGCTGAACTGTAGAAGCCTTGACTTGTAACATTCTTAAATATTTCCCTGGCTGTGACCATGCTACATCCGTTCCTATTCACAGTTCAGTTCCCAATTCTCTCATTCATTCTTTCTTTCAACAAATTGTTCTTGGGCTCCTTCTTTGTGTCAGGTGTTAGTGCTGAGCCTAATGGAAGATAGAATAGGCCAACAGATCTGGATTTATGGCCTGATTCTGTCACTATTTAGATTTGTGGCTTGGAAAACAAAAATAATGTTTCAGTAGCTTAAACCTCCTGAGGCTCCTGTTTTCTCATCCATAAAATGGGGATGATGTTAATACCCATCTCACAGACCTCAATAATTCCAGTCCAATACCTACACATGAAATGATTTAATAAATTCCATACACTAATAAGATTTTTATTCCCGGGCGCCTGGGTGGCTCAGATGGTTAAGCGTCTGCCTTCGGCTCAGGTCATGATCTCAGGGTCCTGGGATCGAGTCCCGCATCGGGCTCCCTGCTCCTTGGGAGCCTGCTCCTCCCTCTGCCTCTCTCTCTCTCTCATGAATAAATAAATAAAATCTTTTAAAAAAAAGATTTTTATTCCCCTAAATATTATTAATTATATTTTTATGTCTAACATATTCATCATGTAATTATATTTTAAGTATTTTCCTCAACATTTTATTATTAAAATTTTTTTTAAGATTTTATTTATTTATTTGAAAGAGAGAGAATGAGAGAGAGCACATGAGAGGGGGGAGGGTCAGAGGGAGAAGCAGACTCCCTGCCGAGCAGGGAGCCCAATGCGGGACTCGATCCAGGGACTCCAGGATCATGACCTGAGCAGAAGGCAGTCGCTTAACCAACTGAGCCACCCAGGCGCCCCTTATTATTAAAATTTTTAATGGGGCACCTGGGTGGCCCAGTCAGTTGAGCATCCAACTCTTGGTTTCAAGGTCATGAGTTCGGGCCCCGCATGGGGCTCCATACTGGACGTGTAGCCTACTTTAAAAAAATAAAATAAAACAGAAAAATTGGGAGAATGGTATAGTGAACACCTGATGCCCATCTCCGAGATTCTATCATTAACATTTTGCTACACTCACTTTATCATATCTCCATCTGTTCATTTTTTTTTTTTTTAAAGTAAGCTCCACACCCAATGTGGGGCTTGAACTCACAACCCTGAGTTTAAGAGTCACGCTCTCCACTGACTGAGCCAGCCAGGCGCTCCTATTCATCTTTTTTTTTTTGGATGCACTAAAAAGTAAGACAGCAGACACCATACTTTCTGCCCTGCCAACACGTCAGCATGTAGATCATTAATTATAGTCCAATATAAATTTGCAGTGCTCTTTCATTTCTTTTAAAGTAAAATTTGCATATAGCAAAACACATAAATCTAAAGTGGACCATTCACCGAGTTTAGAAAAATGCATACATCTGTGCAACCAAAGCCTTATCAACACACAGAACATCACCGTCACTCCAGAAAGTTCCCTCCCTCTTCAGTCAACCTTTATTCCCACCTCATCCCAGAAGCAACCACTCCTCTGGGCCCTTTTTTTTTTTCCCACCATTTTTCAGCTGTTCTAGAACTTTATACAAATGGAATCAAACAGTATATATTTTCAAACTATTGATACACACAACATGGATGAACCTCCAACACATAGTTATGTTTTATATTATTTTATTGTACAAGAGAATAGGCATATGTCTTGTATTACAGGTGTCTGTGTAGTGGGATGATGTAATGGGTATTGTCATTGCATCACGGTGGCAGAAAGGAAAAAGTAAGGGGGCTTCTCTGCCCTCCAACTTCTGGCCAGAGTAGAACCCAGATATTGTCAGAGACCAAAGAAGGGGCTTGTAGGACCCTCGCTCTGGGCTCAGGGACAACCTGTGAGGGACAGCCAGGATCACTGAAACCAGCAGCAGCCCGAAGAGACACGGAGGCCTCTGTGTTGGGGTCGAAGGACCAGGACAGTGGTCAATAAAATGGGGTACTTCTATGTGCCAGGCACAGGGCTGGATGCCCTGATGAGGGGAAGTTACTAGAGAAGGAGCAGCTTAAACAGAGACTGGAGGGAAGGAGCTGATGCAGAGAGCAACCAGTCCGTAAGTGGGAGGTGGAGAGAGGAGAGTTGAGATCACGTGGGAAAGAGGCCGGGCTCCTAAGACCCATCCTCAATTCCTCCCCTACCTGCACCCTCGGGGAACCTTGGGCGCCTCATCTGGCTCTCTCGGCTTCAGGGCAAATACTTTGAGATCCAGTTCAGCCGAGGCGGGGAGCCGGACGGGGGCAAGATCTCCAACTTCCTGCTAGAGAAATCCCGTGTGGTCATGCAGAACGAAAACGAGAGGAACTTCCACATCTACTATCAGGTGCAAGGAAAGGGGCCGTGAGGGTGAGGCTGGGGCAGAGGGAGAGCCCAAGGGGAGACATGGGAGGGTTAGTGTCCCGGAGCCCAGGGCAGTGAGGACCGGGGCATCACAAGGGCTGTGCCAGTCCAATGCCAGATGCATGAGCGTTGCTCGCCCTCCAGCTGCTGGAAGGAGCCTCCCAGGAGCAGCGGCAGAACCTGGGGCTCATGACCCCCGACTATTATTACTACCTCCAATCGGACACCTACAAGGTGGATGGCACCGATGACCGGAGCGACTTCAGTGAGACTTTGGTGAGCAGTGACCACCACTCTAGAAAGCCGAGGCCCAGAGAGGGGCAGGGACTTGCCTCAGGCCACACAGCGAGTGGGTGAAATAAGCAAGACAGGGATCCAGGTGTCCTGCCTCCCTGCATCCATGCTGTGGCCCCAGAAGCCTAACCCGGGAGGGCAATCGTGGTACAGTTCCTGCCCCTGTGTGCCTGCAGAATGCCATGCAGGTCATCGGGATCCCGCCCAACATCCAGCAGCTGGTCCTGCAGCTGGTGGCGGGAATCCTGCACTTGGGAAACATCAACTTCTGTGAAGATGGGAACTACGCCCGGGTGGAGAGTGTGGACCGTGAGTGTGGGTGCTGGGGAGGGCGGGGTGGATGTGTGTGTCCCAACTGCTTCCTCCTAGGAAGGGTCCCAGGACGGTAAGAACCATGAGGACAATATCTGTGTCACTGGGCACAAAGGAGGGCGACGGAAGTACCACAGGAGGCCCCAGAGCCTAACTGGCTGCTCTCTTTCCCCCCAACCCTGGCAGTTCTGGCCTTTCCTGCCTACCTGCTGGGCATCGACAGCAGGCGGCTACAGGA